TTAGGTGAGCTGCATTCTATACGACGCACCGCAACCAGCAGAGTCTCCTTCATTGTATTATATTCTGTAAATTCATCTTTTACTAGATAAATTGAAGTAAACTTACGATTTCAAAAAATATTAAAATAAAAATTTAATTAACTATTTAGTGTTGGCTTGCCTGACAGCGGTGTCCGGCGCCATCACGACCTTTAACGAATTTTGGGTCGTGACAATGCTCGTCCATACAAAGTTGATTCAAGTTGATTCCTGCCATTTCAAACACTGAAAAACGAAGTATTAGCCCAGATTAATTTCAATAGAAAACCCTAAAAACAGTCTGTAAAATATGACTAAGAAAATTAAAGATTGAGGAGGAGAAGTTAATACTATACCAAAAAGCTGCAATGCAAAAAGAATCCCTTTCGATTCACCAAAATCGAGCTTCAATGGCGGATGAAATTGGATGTGGAAGAAGAGAATGAATTCTAACCTAATTAAATAAATGGCATGTGACCGTTAAATAGAGGCATGTAAATATAAATTATATCATTCACGCACTCACGTTGTGTGCCAGCTGGGCCACGAAAGTGTATTTTAATTCACTAAAAATATATACAGGGGGTCATAGGACACCCGTGTTTTTAAGGGGTGCAACTGGCACTTTGGTACAATCCCAATTGGGTAATTATGCATTATCCCTATTATATATGTGGATTTGATCCCTCGCCACACGGTAAAGGATGAGGGGTTTACATTATATAAGGTATTTTCCAACTTCACCAGAGATATAATTCAAGTCCTTTAACTCTGATAATTTTTAGTATTTCAATATTTATTGACGTGGAAGTAAAAAAATTAGTCTCATCTTTTTAGGAATTGCATAAATTGGTGAAACTATAATCTATTGGAGCATGCCACTTTGAGATATTATAATTATTTTATTCATAAATTTAACAACAATCTTATACTCACATATGCTTTCAAATTTAGCCCAATTATTAAAACAGATGATTTCAAAAACTTTAATATTGAAAAAAAAATCAAGATGTAGAATATATTAATATTTTCTTTTCAATAATTTTTATATTTTATTTTACTTTTATGAAAATTTTACGAAAAATAATTTTTTTTCTTGTTACTAAGAGTAGAAGGACGAATCAAGTGGGAATAAGGTTTTAACTTGTTTCTCGGATTATGGAACAACAACCTGTGATTCATTTAATTAATCACATATTTTTTTTACTTGCGAAAATAATGAGTGTTCCAACTTGTCTTTATCCTCCATTTTTTTCTTGCCAATAATCCTCCAACTTTAGATAAAACTAGTTTAGTGTACGTGCGTTGCAGTGTGCTTCACGTTAATCAATATAAAATGTATACAAATTATTGAAAAATAGCAATGGACGTAAAACTAAATGCAATATATGTTTAAATGATGAAAATAAATATTAATACAAGAATTTAGTATAATTAGTTCTATATTATTTATAGTTATAATATTTTATTATATAAGATACAAATGTGCTATATTGTTGTATCTCATCTAACATCTCTTTGTAAACTCTACGTTCATAATGTCGTTATACAAAAAAAACAGTTCTTCGTTCAAAGTTAATCAAAATTACAGACAAGCTAAATGAACCTCTTCTTGTGTAAAAAAAGTTGCCTGGATTCTTATTGATTTAAGTCTAAATTTCCTTCTTTGCACGTTCACCCAATATCAAATAAAAGTTAATACTATCCTAAACTCACTCCGAATGCACTCTGCTAATAACAAATTTAAAATTTCAAGAGTTCACAATGTTGAGGTTAATTTTTCAAAATTATTGGGGGGAAATAAAAAATTTATAGTTATTTCAAGAGTTCCAAATACATTAGTTTATCTTAAGCTTAAAAAGTTAGTTGTAGTTGCAAATTTACATAGTGGTTGTAGCTTAATTTATTTCTAAATTAACACCATATTAGTTCAGACTTCTAGAAATTTAAAGTTAAAAATAAATTAAAGCTCTTAAAAATTTAACAGGAAAAAGGCGAACATGCATTGATGATAGATGTTCCACATTTTTATGTAATCAATTATTGGTAAATTAGAGCAAAAAATACTATTATATACCTTAGAGGCTGTGAATTAAAAAAAACTTTAATGGCCACGTACTAAACTCCAAAAGGATATTTATAAAAACTGGTCAAATAAGAAAAACATTTAATAAGGTATTTTTTTAATTGAATTTGAAGTCCTAAATATTAAGATATTCTTAAGTAAATTTTTAGTTGATTTTGAAGTAATAAATATTAGGAAAATAATTAAGTGACTATTTTGCCTAGTGTGAAATTAACTTTTAAAGGGTAAAAAAAGGCGAACGATATTTCGATAGAGGCTTCTAATATAGTATGTTTTAGAATACGCACTTTGCGCATGTACCTTATACCAATAAGTATAAAGCTTTTAAAAGCCATAAAAATATTATTAAACTATACATGCCTAATTATTAAGTGTTATGTCAAAAAATTTAAAATTTGATGTTGAGTTAAAGAGTATAATAATTGTGAATATTAGGATAATTTATATTTGATTATAGATTTATTAGAAATGGTATTTACATTTTTTTGTCATAAATTTTATAAAAGGGGTATTTTATTAAAGGGTAATAGACATTCTATTGAATACCCAAGAATCAAGCGTATTTTATCACAAAAAGTTTTTCTCCATTTTTTTTTATTTGTGCTAAGATAATTAGATTAAATAAAATAAATTAATTTTAGTTCTATTATCGGTTATAAATTTATAATTAAGAATTAAAATTGAAGGAGTGCCGACTAATATTATTGACTTTACCTATAGTTTCCTACTTAGTGTTTCTCTTTCTTTTCTTTTTTTAACTGCCATCTATTTTGCAAATATATACTTATTTTCATGTTCTTTCACCACATTGCGCTTAATGCATGATAAAGTATTCAAGAAAAAATTCTATGACAAAGAATAATTCAAACCTACATATAATAATTATATTCTTATTATTGATTATATTATGTTCTTTTAAATTTATAGGATTATTTTATCTTTTACCAAAACACCATACTGATAAAGATGACTTGATTGAGGTTACAATCCTTGATTATCAACTAATATATAAGCAACAACATACAATAGGCAATGAAATATAAATATAGAGATAGCAATTTTAGATCTTTAGATGTTATTGTAGAAATTTATAACATTGAAAAACCTTTTCTTTCTCAAAGTTTTAGATAGTAAGGTCTTTTATTCCTAAAAAATGGATTAGCTAAGATTTTTTTTTGTCTCAAAATATCAACAACTATACAAATCTGCATATTTGTTCAACCTGTTTTTATGAGTCATACATTCTACATGCTTTTTAACTTTGTAAAAGAATTTTGTGTATTTAATTTCTTTCATCCAGTTAACACGTATATACCTTTACAATAGAAAGATTATTTGAAATTACTCAAGGAATCAGGTACTTTTGCATATAGTTAATAGCAGAGGCGGATCCAAGATTTAAATTCTATGGGTTCAACCGTTAAGGTTTTAGCATTACTTCATTGTATTTTTAAAGTTATGGGTTCATATTTATTATTTATTGTAATTTTAATAAATTTTTACACATAAATTTATACTCTGCAATAAAAGCACCGGGTTCAGTTGAACCCGGTGCTAGAGGGCTGGATCCGCCCCTGGTTAATAGGAATATATATTATATAGTAAGTCATTTAGGTATTGCCTAAAAAATTAAGTCTTTTAATATTATATTTATTTAGCGTTATGTTCTTTTTTACTATAATTTTTTAACATGATAAATTAATTCCAATGAAATTATTTGGACCTATGAATGGAGATATTTCCGAAACTCATAAAGAAAAAGAAGAAGTGAGTTAGACAAGAAGAAGCAACATGGACAAAAAAAAGAAGTGACTTAGACAAGAAGAAACGAAGTGGTTTAGACAAATCTTTTTTGTCGATAACCTCAGACCAATCAATCGAATATTAATTAATACGTAATCGATCAAGCACTACTTGAAAACGGCTCTTATGTTCCAAATGTTCATGGAAATTCTTTCTAGAATGAAATAGAATCCTTCTTTTTCATTGTATTAGGTTAAAAATTGTAGGAAACTCAAAGTGACAAATAGATAGTAGACATCAAAATCCTAAATATTACTTCATCAAAAATATTAACTTCTTAATTAATTTTATAATTTATATAGTGATTATTATTACTATATTATATTGAACGCGTTTGAAGCTTTTGGTTAAGTAGTCTTCGAAGTTTATGTGCCTTTAGTCCTTTATTTAGCACCGTATACAAAATATTTCCTTTTGTAATTCAGACTTCAAGGTTATAAGTATTAGGTAACGTAACTTAGAATTATAGTAGTAGTTATGTTACATCGTCAAATAAGAAAATACTTTGTGTAAGATAAAATTTTAATTTATTTTAAAGTTTTAAATATTAGGAAAAGCGACTATTCCTAAATAGTAGGAAATTGATAAGGAAATTATTAATAAATAATTTCTTAGTTGACTAAAAAGTCCTAAATATTAGAAAAATAATTAAATGACTATTACTAAATAATAGAGAATTAATTAAATGACTATTCCTAAATATTAAGGGATATAATTAAATGACTATTTTATCTAGTGTGAACTCTATTTTAAAAGGATAAAAAAGGCAAACGATATTTCGCTAAGAGCTTTCGTGCTTTTAATATAATATAGATTATTAAAACTTTAACTTCAAATGCGTATAATCAATATATCAAACTTCATATGCCAATATTTACAACTTTTAGTCTCAAGTTAATTATGAAGTGACTAAACTTATGATCTTAGGTCATCGGCCTAAATAGGGATCCCAAAATCGGATATATGTGCACTTGCCCTCATAGTTCACTTAACAGAATGCTATTTGGGCACTTGATTGGGCCCATTTTACATGGAAGGAGGCCCAAACCCGCATGGCCCATTTACCCGTTTCTAACATCTCCCTTCTTCTTCTACCCTTAAACCCTAAACTCCGAGTGCCTGCCATTGTAACTGGTCCTAAAACCCTAATCACTATATTGCTGCCACCTTGGTTTTATTTCACCTCCAATCCAAATTTTAGCTCACTAGGTAACTGGGTGCGATATACTTCTGGAAAAAGCTCTGAACTTTGAGCTCCCCATTGAATCATGAAGGCCAAGAACCTGAAAAAGAAGAAAGCGTCAGCTCAAAAAGGGAACACACAGAATGGAAAAAAGAGATTTTCAATTGAAAATGACCCATTTTTCAACGACTCGAAAAGGAGAAAGAGGTTTGGAGATGATGAAGATATAGAGAGCAGTGATGATGATGATGAGGAACTTTATGGTTCTGATGATGAAGGAATTAGGGACAAAAAAGAGGGTAAGGAGGAAGAACAGGAGGAGGAGGAGACGGCGGCGGAGAGGAGAAAGAGGGTGGCGGAGGCATATTTGAAGAGAATAAGGGAGTCCGCGAGGAGGGAAGAGGAAGAAAGAGAGAGCGAGGATGAAGGGGGTAGAGAGGAGAGGGAAGGGATGAGGGACTCGGTGGTGGCGAACATTTTGCAGCAGGAGCAGATGGAGGAGAGTGGTCGTGTCAGAAAAGCTATTGCTTCCAGGTGTGTGATTACTCAATGCAAATTGGTTATTATACAAGAAGGAAATTAGTGTTTAATTTCAGTATACTCAATTATGTCGCTCAAATATATATCAAACAGTTGTCATAATTCTATAACCAGTATTTTTCTTCTTTCTTATGTTGTGAGCATGTGTTACCGAATTAAGTATTCCTGTGGAAAGAAACGCAGATGTGTTTCCCTTAGCTGGTGGCTAGCCTTTTCTATTGTGGGCATGGATAGCGTGATGGATTTTACTAAATTTATAATTGTTGAATTGGGTCGCCTGCGCCAAGGGAATGGCCGAGTGGTTAGGTATACGAATATCAACTTGGAGATCCCATGTTTGAATCCCAGCTGTAACTCTATATGTGAGCTGGAATTTAGGTTGTAGCAGGCCGTGGGGTGGGGGGTTATTCAATTTGTGTTGAAGCTGAACTAGGCACCATCGTCACCAAGCTGACTAATTGAATATGTTGATTATGTTCTGTAAAGATATGACGCTTGGGCCTAACTCAGCCCCAAAAGCTACCTCGTGAGGGGAGGACTGCCCAAGTCCATATAAGGAGACTACCAGCCCATTCCCTAACCATGTGGGACTCTAACCCGCTCTAACATGTTCAGAGGGCCCACTAGATCGAGCAAAAGCACCATGAATAACTCATCTTTATTTCTGGTTTTAGTGTTAGAAGTGTTGTGCTTGCACATTGGGCTATAGTTGAGGTTTGTTTGAGTTGATACCTGCCACTTTACTAACTCCTATCTACAGAAACAAATAATGTCTATGTAAGCTGTTCTGTGCTCCACTATAACCATGATAAGAAAGATTATTCAAATTTCATATGTGGTTAAATTGATGAAGACATTTTTTCGATAGTTATTGAGTTATTCCATTATTATATTCCCCAGGATTCAGAAGCCGACTGAGGGATTTCGCCTTTTAGTGAAACATCGACAGTCCGTAACTGCTGTGACTCTATCGGAGGATGACTTAAAAGGATTTTCATCTTCTAAAGATGGTACTATTGCTAGCTGGGATGTGGACAGTGGAAAGACAGAAAAGTATGCTTGGCCTACTGACGAAGTTTTGAAGTCACATGGTGCTAAGGAGCCACAAGGTCGAGCAAAGAAACATAGTAAGCATGTTTTAGCTTTAGCTGTCAGCTCTGATGGCCGCTATTTGGCGAGTGGAGGCTTGGATCGTCACATTCATTTGTGGGATGTCCGGACACGGCAGCATATTAAGGTATTTAGATGGGTAATCAATGCAGGTTATGAACAACTTTAGATTCTGACTCTCTCTCTCTCACTCATATCTCGCTTTATCCTTAAAGCCAAGTGATAGCTTGGAACTCATGTTGATAAGAGTTCTCCCTGCAAGTGGAATAATACTGAATTGACTTAGTTCCCCTTACAAGTTCAATTATTTAGAGCTAACTAACCTCATCCTTAGATATTTGTTGATAAACAGTAGTAAGATTGCGCTCTTCAATGCTGAAAGAGGCTAAAAATGGGTTCACATCATCTCCAATCTATCAATATCTGTTAAAAATATTCTTAAATTCTGTGATTTTCTTATCAAAAAATTTATGGCTGTGATCTTTTTGTTGAATGTTATGCGGAAATACTGATCATGTTTTGATTAACAAAAATAAAGACCTATCTTTGATTAATTTCCTCGTGTCCTGTTAGTTGTGAGTGCTTTCATGGATTCCTTCTTTAACTCTTCAATGCCTCTCTAACTTAAAAGTAATGCTTTGTACAGGCATTCCCTGGTCATAAAGGACCTGTTTCATGTTTGACATTCAGACAAGGATCTTCGGAACTGTTTTCAGGGTCGTTTGATCGATCCATCAAGATATGGAATGTGGAAGATAGAGCTTATGTAAACACTTTATTCGGTCATCAAAGTGAAGTTTTGTCCATTGATTCCTTGAGGAAAGAAAGGGTGTTGACTGTTGGACGAGACCGAACCATGCACTTATGGAAGGTAGTCGATGGCCTTTCATCTGCTTTTCATCTTCTTTTCAGACAGTTTGTTTCTTTTCTAGCTATGTATCTGTTTAGTAAAAGAAATTCTTATTGTTAGTTAACTATTCAATGAGAAATCTGTTTCTTATGAAGAATTTAAATAAAAGACGTGCTCCATCCTTGTTGATGAAGAAGTCCTTCTCATGAGATGTAGTTTTCTAGTGAAAGGTGTAGTCTGCTCATTCTACTCTGAGTTTTCATCCCTCATCCCACATGTCCTTCCTTAGTACCTGAGATTTTTAGGATCTAAGACGTTTTCAAAGCTCCTATCAGGTTTTTTTGAAGGTTACACTTATTCCAGCACTATTACTGGGTCTCTGATGTTAGATAGCTGCAGTTACATTTAATTGAAAAGATTCGTGACTTTTCAAAAAGAATATATTCTTTATTTTTGAGTTTGAGGATAAAAAGGCATGTTAATTGAGTTAACCCCTGGTTTTAAAGATATGCAATAATAGATTGCATGCTGTCAAATTTAAGTTGATGACTCCTCTTTTATTATTTTTTTTATACGGTTGTAAGAACAGCGAACAAAACATTCTTGATTACTTACTCCCAGATTCAATCGGATGTTAGAAAGTCTTTAACAGATTCTCTGTTCAGGTTACAGATGTTGCTGATCCATTCTTCCTGAAAGGATCTCTTGTCCTACTATGAAGTTGCCTGGGGGATATTATTTTTCTGTTAAAAACATGATTATTTAATTCCATTTTAATGTATTGTGGTTCAACGCAGTGCTCACCATAGATGTAGTCCTATAGTTAACAGCTTTGAAAAAGAAAAAAAAGAGGCAAATTGGTTGAAATTCTTTAAGTGAAAGTAAGTTAAGAGGATTGTATGACTAGGTACTTCCACCCTTGGTAACACTGAAGGCAACAAGGTTCTTTCAAATTCAAAAAATTTTAAGAACAAATTTTGAAGTGTTCAGTTAACAAGTTATATTTTTTTCACAGCTAAACTTCGCTAATGCATCCACATATTTAAAATGGCTGACATGATTTCTTTTTTCCCCCTCCCTTTTCTGGTCATGCATATGGAAACATAATAGTAGCAAGAAGATGCTAATATGATGCAGCTTTAACAGGAACAGTGTACCCAAATCCCGACCTTAAGCCATTCAAAGATCATAATTAGGCACCAAATGTTACTACAGCTTCTAACCACTGCCTTGGTGGGGAAAGACTTTCCATAGACTCGGATATAACCAATTTTATTTTACTATTAATGAAATGAATAAAAAATAATTTTCTGTTGGGGAACTTAAAGATGGAAATATCAAGTCATGCAGCGTCTATGATTGTTGAAACCCTGTCATTGAATCAGTTTAAGATTTTAAAGATGCTGCAAGACTATGAACTTCTGGATTCCTATAGTGCCAGTTTCAAAGCCATGAAGCATGGTAATTGGATTTTTCTTTTCTTTTCTGGTGAAACAGAAAGCATAATAGGAGATGATAAAATATTATGAACTAATAGCAGACGGGTAGTAATTTTACACTTCTTTTGTCTCTCCTTCTTGGCCTTTACTTATACATCAAGTTCTCAAAGATAGTTCTGACTCTTGATATTTTTGGTCCCTTCTTCCCCGTCAATAGGTTCCAGAGGAATCTCAATTGATATTTCGTGCTCCAGCAACAAACCTTGAATGCTGCTGTTTCATCAATAATGACGAGTTTTTATCTGGTTCTGATGATGGAAGTATTGAGCACTGGAACGTATTAAGGAAGAAACCTGTCCACATTGTAAAAAATGCACATGTTTCATTGCAATCAGCGGGAATCGAACCGAGAAATGGGGCTCTATCAAATGGCCACATGGGTAAGCTTTGAGATCATTCTTCAGATTTTTCTGTTATATCTCTCCTATGATAGGATTTTCTATTGTAAGTTTTGCTAGCATTATTTTGCTTCAATAAGAATTCTTTCACTAAAACATAATTAAAAAACTAAAGCAAATATGGTGTTCAATCTTTCAGAAAATGGCACCCTGAATCCTGAGAGTCGTTCCTCATCAGCACTCTCTTGGGTTAGTGCGCTGACAGTCTGCAGAAATAGTGATCTTGCTGCATCAGGAGCTGCCAATGGGTCAGTTCGTTTGTGGGCAATTGAAAATGAATCCAAAGGAATCCGGCCGTTGTTTGAGCTCCCAGTGGTATGGAATCTATCAGTGTGTGTCCATCTGATTCTTTGAAACTTCTTTGGATTTATTTTGATGATCCTACGGATCTGTAAACTTTAAGTTATACCTAGGACTCAGGAGTAGAGGGGATATGTGCACGTGAGTAGTACTGGCTTTTGTGGCTCACGAAACACCTACAAGTATTACAAAAACGGAAAAGATTGTGTTAGGAGGGCATGGATGGGCTACCGACCCTGTACAAGCCTAGTGAAATGTGTTAGCCATAGAGCATTATGGTGTCCTCTCAATAGAAAAATGATAATTCCTTGAAGTTAGCCATAAAAATGTAAAAGTCTTGCAATGAACTTAAGCAGTTCACCAAGTGAGAACTCTGTTAATTGTTGCAAGTTCCTCCCCCTCTTCTCAACCCCAAGAAAATGCAGTATCTGCTCTTCATTTTGGGATGTCATAAAATGATATATCCTCCCCACATGAATAAAGGTTTGCGATCTCGGAGAATTGTAAATCGTAAGGATATTGTTTACCTATCAATAAAAACAAAAGGTTGAAGTTTCTAACTAACCATGATCGTTCATGCACTTAATAGTAAACATTCATTGTTATGGTTGTTTGACGAAGCTTAATACTTATATAAATTGCCTTTTTGTATCCTTATTCATTGATCTTGAGGCTCAATGTAATTGGCAAATGAGATTTAACGTGTTCAATTCTCTTCTTCTCTGATTTGTATTGGAACATTAATGAAACATTATTTCTAGGCTATTTGTGTAATGTCTGTAATCTTCGTGTTGCTTCTGAGGAATAATGTAATGCTGATAAGATTGTTTTAATGCAGGCTGGATTTATAAATTCTTTAATTTTTTCAAAATCAGGACAGTTCTTGGTTGCTGGAGTAGGGCAGGTGAATGGTTCTTTCTCCATTTTTATGTTTCAATATCTTTCAACTTTGCAAAACAGATAAAAAGATTTAATTTCTTCCATGACTGCTCGTTTTGATGATCCAACTTCACGATACAATAACCTGTCAGTTAAAATCTTTATACATCACTTGGCAACAAATTTTCGCTTGGCCAGGTCTTTTTGACTGAGATCAGTGTCCTCTTAGGACTATCGGTATCTGGGATAATAAACTTGATTTTCATAATGCTGACAAGCTTTTCTCCCTTGTGAACTAAAGAACATGTGTGTTCTACACCGAAAAAGCTTCTTGCATAAACGGGTAACAATATGTGGATATTATGAAACATATCTGGGTAAAAAGATACTATAACTTTGGCTATTTTTCTAAAGGATATCGAGAATGTGCTTATGCATAATCTGCGTCATGAATGTGCAATCTCATCCATCAATCTCTAGCACAGGGATGCATTGACCTCGCAACTGAATCATCGTTGATATTCTGTACATTGCTATTTTTATCTCACATACTATCGACTAATCTGATATGCATTTACTGCAGGAACCTCGCTTAGGAAGGTGGGGACGTATTGCTGATGTTCGAAATGGAGTTCTTGTGCAACCTTTGAAGCTTTCGTGATATTGACCTCGTTACTCATTGTCAATTTTGGCGCATGCTAAAAGGGGAATAACCTTCTCTGTACCTTTTTTGTGAGGTTAATATTTTTATGCTGTCAGTGAAAATTTTGATCTATCAATTTTTTATGCCTTTTTCTTCTCTCGTTCATCTTGTTCATATTGAATCGGCTACGTAGTAGTGAAATACGGAGCAATTTTAATGTATTAGTTTTTTAAATTCATATGAAAACCTCAGAAAGTTTGAAGGTTTTACTTGTGCTTTTCAAGAAACAACAAAATCAAATCCAAACTCGGGTTTTTTTTATTTGTTTTCACAATTCATTTAGAAAAAGTGGGAAGTGAAAAAGTTATCTTCATTTGCAACTCACATGGGAATTTATTCTAGGAAATATTCTCAGATAATATTTGGTACTCCTGGTCCTACTGAAATGAACAAAACTAATGCTACTACTTTTTTAAGGTCTCAACAGTAACATCATAGGAACGCTCTTCCAGTTTATTTCCAATTTATTCTTGTCATCATACTATATTATAAGTTGTGAAACCTTAAAGTATAAGATGAAAGATCAAAATATATTTCAAAAGTTAAACGACAGTTTTGTCCTTCGAGCAAATATTATTTCGAGAATATTTTTATGCATAATGTAAATATACATCTAATAAAGATAACAACAACGGAACAAGTAAAAAGAAAGTAAAATCCAAAGAAATAATAATGTGGCCGTTCAGATGGCCATAAACTGAAACTGTTTAAAGCTTTTTATTTGCTCTATTAATTAGACGTAATGGTTGAACTGTTATAAGAACCTTAACAGTCTCAACAAACTGTAGAAAAACTGTAATGGTAATAATGCATCTAATACAAAGAAGATAGACCAAACCTGTAGAGAGAAAAAAAATTTGTTTTCATATTTCAGTTTCATTTCTGTAGTAGTAATGCAGACTGTAAAATTTAACATTTCAGTTTCGTTTTTATAGTAGTAATGCAGGCTGTATATTTTCTTAATTATCTCAAAAGCACATTTCGGTTAAATTTATCTTCCACGGTTGTAGGGAAATTTTTATAGTCTTTTACATTCTTTATTTCACTCTATAAAAGTGTACATCAAATTGTCTAATCACTGTAATACATTTCTCTTGTTTCTGTCAAGAAATTTCTTTTTTTCCAAAAAGTCCATTAGATTTTTTGCTTGGCCTACTTTCCTTGCACCTCACAGGTTTACAATTTTCTTTCTCTCGCTTTCTTACATTTATGATGGAGTATCTGGTTCATGTTCCATTTTGGGGTCTGAAATATTTTATGTATGGGTTAATGTATGCATGTTAAATTTCTGCAAGAGTCATTTGACTCTGTGATTTCACATCTTCTAGAATCCATCTTTGTTCTTTTTCATTTTATCAAGCTTCAACTTATATTATTGGTCCAAAACCCACTATAAATTTTGTTGGTAGCAATGCCCTTAGTGCAATTCAATCTATCTTCACATTCCTCAAATTAACAAACTTGATATATCGTTTTTGGATGAAGTCCATTTACAAAACAGCTAGAAAAGATGATATCGACATATTTTTATTCAATTGAAGAAAACAAAATGAAAGTCGCTTTACTAATATTTAAAAGTTGGTGCAAAAACACAATTTTGGATACCGTACAAGAAAATAATGGATGATAATGCATGGAGAAACGAGATTTAGCTAGCGTTTTGGATATAGATTTGGTCGAAACTTAAAAAATAAGTTTTTGAAGTTGTGTTAAAAATAATTTTTGTGTTTGGACATTCATTTTATTTGAAATTTTGAAGTTCCCTAAACCAGTTTTTCAGAATTTGAAAAAAAAATTAATTTTTTTTAAAATTGATCATATTCCATGAACATACAATGTTTTCAAAAGAAAATTTTAAAAAAATAACCCAAATTTATGGCCAAACAGGAGTTTGATACTTTCCGTTTCAACTTCACATTGCCCATGGGAAATTTTATTAGTTTTCAAATAATACTAAATGATTCTTTTCGTTCCGTTTTGAATTCGACTGTGACTTCTTAATATTTTTTTCGGATAATTTCAAATACCTCCCTCCAGGTTTCGCCCTATCACACTTACCTCCCTTATGATTTACAATATTACGCTTACCTCCCTTATTTTGATTTTCTTGTAACCATTCTTTAAACTCATTTAAAATAAATATAAATAAATACAATTTGACAAATTTACCCCTTTTAATGTTGAAAAATACGAACCAACCCAACCTATATATACCCTTACCTGTATATTTCCTTTTAATAACGAGATGATATTTTAAACTACAAATAGACTATAACTGTTAAACTTTTAATTTATTCTATGTAACAGAACTACTGAAATATATTTTATTGTTATTACTGAAAAAGGTTATCCAATTTGTAAAATGTATATGGAATGAGGTAGTCACAGTATCCTAGTAGCTTGACTTGCAAATATACATGAGGCCAAAGTTGGTGACAACATTTACAAAGCTACGTTATTAATATTCGACATTAGTCTCTTCTCATTTTATTTATTTTATTTTTCAAAAATATTCCAAACATATCCAAATAAAATAACGGCTATGTCGGTTTCATTAGTTCTTATGTTGTTTTCAAGGACCATTTTGATGACAAGAATAATCAAACTTTATTTAACACTCGAGTAATTAAATTCAAAGTAATTTCTCTAATTGAAAGAAAATAACATTAAAAAGGGCAAATCTGTCAAATTGTATTTTATTTATATTTATTTTAAATGAGTTTAAAGAACGGTTACAAGAAAATCAAAATAATGGAGGTATGCGTAATATTGTAAACCACAAGGGAGGTCAGTGTGATAAAGCGAAATCTAGAAGTATGTCTCTGAAATTATCCGTACTTTTTTTTTTTTTTTGCCTTATTCACCGCAATTAACTATTTTTGATTCTATAGGTATTTCATGTCGCTATTATTTTTTCTTTAGTTGAAGCTTGTAATTTAACCCTTCTAATTTCATGATACTCATTACACACATATTGTAAAATTATCAACTCTCATGTCTTTTTGTTTGTCAAATTCTTTTATGATTATCAAAAAATTAATTTTAAAACTAAAAGATAATTTTTTTTGGATATAATAGAGTGCTATATTTCTCATTAAGTACTAAACCATCAAATTGCCATCATCTAATAAATGGTTGTGCTAAATTTTATAATACAGTTATCTTCATATTATACCAGAAAAATTTTTGGACAAATTCACATATGAAATGACTCATAATTTTGAATCAAACAATGAGACAAGGATACATGTGTGTGTTTTGATTTATATACATCAATTAAATATTTGAACAACTATTATCTATATCACAAATAACTGCTACTTTTGTGTAGGTATATACCATGAGATTGACGATGATCTATTAGACATCCCAAGGAAGGTGTTATGAATGAATTTTTGTATATAGCTTCTACAAAACACTATTACAACAATTTATTGAGGAAGGCAAAAACTTTTAGAGAAAAATATTTACAACCATAGCCGACATTTTAAATTATGTGTTGTTAACATATTAAAAAGAAGAATTACCATCCATATGATTATTTGATATATTATAAGAATTGCATAATCGAAGTCATCGAAACTATAACTTTTGAAATTCATTTGATAGCAATTTTTTCAGTATAATAATAAATATCGATTGAATAGGCTCACGGTCATCAGTTCGAGCTTGCATTTGTTCTCTTTAATTTCCGTGTAACTTCTCTTACATTTATTATAATATTTTAAAAATATTTAAACTAATTAGTATAGGATACACATGCGAATGACTAGTAGGAATAATATTAATGAAGAAGCTATAATAATCCGGGAGTTGGTGCTAAAGGAAATGGAGTTTCTGCTCTTGGCTGATTCAAGCAATGTAACTTACGAGAGATTTAAGTAAATTTCTCTAGTCTTTTAAATGTACCAAAAAGAAGGAATATCAAGCAGGAAAAAAAAAAGTAGTTAAATCCATCTGAACCCAGAAAAAAAATTAATTGAAAATTACTCAATCTTCGGAAAATGGCATGAAAAAATAGTTCACGAGATCTCTTGTTTCCAAATATAGAAAGGTGTTATCTCAAACTTCAAAAACAAGTGTCATAAGTCATAAGTACGTAATTGATATTTAAAAATAATAAATTATATAATCTATAAGCTGTAATTTTAATCCTTGGATTATTATTTTATTAATTGCATCATGAATAACATAGTAGTCATAAAACCATCAACATTGTTAGCAAAAAGAGAATCTATTCACATATTCCAACAGGCAAATCAACTCCACGGTCAACAATGAGAACCCATATATTATTCTTTTACTTTTGTCAAGCTAAATTATTTTTTCTTAAGGTAACACTTAGATTAATTCTAGAAATAAATTTTTAAAAAGGAAGATGATATTGTTAAAGATAGTTTAAAGAGGTAGGATTTAGAAGGCACAAATTGTTTCTACTTGCTTTTAAGATAGAGAAATTACTTCTTATGATATTATTCATCAATTTTATGTATAATATAATCCAGATATTATAACAAATTGACTTGTCAATTTTTAATAGTGATTACCAACTATTGTGTATCTCTTCATTAAAATTTTGGATCCATATTGCTCCAACCACGTATGTCAGAATTATGAACATGTACTATTTTTTTATACATTAAATCAAGCGTTAACTCGATACAATTTACCGAACATAACCTCAAAAAGATAAGTACAAAAAAAAAAGAAAATCTGAAAAATATAAAAACCAAGTTGCTCTTTTATTTATTTTATATATATATATTATATTATTTTGTGGCTTCTTTTTTTCCCCAAGGTCCCAAAAAAAAAAAAACAGCAAGGAAAATGGCTATTCCTACCGTAAGTAGCAATTCCTTTCAACTTGATGATGATAACAACTAAACCGAATCCGATCCTCTCGAAATCTTGGTGCATGAGAAGCTAACCAAAGACTCTGCTTCCCTTTTTCTGCTTCCAATTCTAGGGCTTCTTTCTCCCTAGATCCAAGCTGTTGACAATTTCATCTGGGTCCGCTCTTAAATGGCCATGTTCTGGCGTATGGCTGGTCTCTCCACTGCTTCTCCAGTAAGCCTATTATTATCATTTTCTTTTACTGTAGTGAAATGTTTGGGAACGATTTGAATGTTTTCTTTACTATCCAAAGTGTTTATCGATTGGAATTGTATTGGGTCTATATTGAATTGCGTGTTATGTATGTTGTGTGGTAGCACTCTCTATTTGGAATTCAGAATTGTGATAATGTAATTGTTTTGGGACGTTTAGAGTAGAGTACTTTTTTGGACTGAATTTCTAGTGGAAGTTTATAATTTGGGGTTCCCTGTTTACTTGTTGCTATTCTCATTATCTTAGTTTTGCGTCTGAAAGAGACTGAGTGTTAGATTGACTTAAATCATAGAGCAATGGAACAGTGGCTCCATGTATAGGAGTTTTTCTGTGGAAAGGACAATGTTCTTTACCTTAGCTGGATCTTGCTAGTGTTATCAAAACAGTAGGTAGGCAGCGAACATATGACAACTATCTCTCGAGCACATTCTTATGTCCGGCCTCAATGGAAAAATAAAGTGGAATGTTTTACATAATTTTTAATGGAATATGAAAATGTTCTGCAGTTTTTCCTTTGGAATATTCAGCATATTTTTCTTTATCAAAAAATATTTGAAAATATTCTTCTACTCAAATTTAATGTGAGTGCATTAATTCTCTTGACTTTCAACATTGCTTACTCCAAGCATTGTGTGGGGTATTCAACTAATGATGTTTCTCAAGAAATAATGTGTATACTAATTAGATATGCTGTACTTTTTTCAGGTGGAGACAATTTTGGATAAGGAAAATTTTGCACTGGATGAGCTCTTGGACGAGGATGAAATAATTCAAGAATGTAAAGCTCTTAATGGACGTCTTATTAATTTGTAAGCACCTTATTCACTCGTGTTTCTTCTTGGCGTTATTGGTATGCTTGGCAGAAGCTGTGATAACATTAAGTTATATTTATGTTGGATATGATGTACAAACTACAAAGTATCTCTCTACCATTGATGTTCTGTGGAAAGTCCATTTAAAGTAAATATCTTTTATCACAAAAAAATAAGTCTAGGATTTGCTGCTGTATTCCAAATGGTGAGGTTCAGATGAGGGACTCTGGTGTTGATGCATGTCATGCCATTTGCAGTGTTATTGCAGTTTAAAAATAAGCTAGTTTGGATTTAGTAAGAACAAATGGTTAACTTTTGTATTTCTGGTTTGTTAGTGAATCAGATTTCATCATAGATTTAAGGCAGAATACCTAACTACCCCCTGAACTTCGCACAATTTATTTAGTGCACACCTAAACTTTTTATAATCCTAATTACCCCAGGACTTGGCTATTTTATAGCCTTTACTTCCTGGGCGACCTCAGCCCAATGATGTGAGAGACCTGGCTTGCCACGTGGATTTTTTATCAACTTGGCATTCTTTAAAAGTTAAATATATGTTTTTACATTTTTAAATTCGGATCGTCTTTTTCAGGTCAAATTTGTAAAAAATTTGGCTGGAACTTCATTATTTAGGCTAAAACACTTTATTTGGCTTAAAATAATGCAGCCAAGCTTTTTACATGAAATAAAAAGAAACAGACAGTTGGAACTCCATTATTTTGGCTAGAACTTTTTTATTTGGCTAAAAGTAATGGAGTTCCAGGATTTAGCTCAAAACGAAGATATACACTGTTGGTTCAATATCCATTGCATTTAAACAAGAAATAAAAAGGAAAACAAACTTGGGGTAAAATATGCATTGTATATTAAGAAAATGCAAGAAGAAATTACACTTTGCATATGTATGTGGCAATTCACAGTTGAAAAATAACCTATCCAGAAGCTGATTTTTTCAATTCTCTTCACTCCCATGCGCCTGGAAGAGAGTGTATCCATGCTCTTTGTCGTGTTAGCGCTCAGAGGCGTAAAGGCTATCAAATACCCAAGTCCATGGCGTAATTAGGACTACGAAAAATTTAGGAGTGCANTGGGGGTGATGCCATCTCTGCAGTCTGCACAATATTTTGTGTTGTTGCAGGATCTAAAAGTCATTCCATGGAAGGAACTGATTTATTATGTTTTTCTTTCTGGCAGTCTGCGCGAAAGAGCTCAAGTTGAACAACTTGTCAGGTACATAGTGGAAGAGGCTCCAGAAGATGCTGAGAAGAGACGAACTTTTAAGTGAGTGTCCGTCCGTGGTTGGAAAAGTATTTGCATTTCATATGTTGTAGGCGCTGGATGTTTCTTTTGACGAGAATATGAGTTCTCTTTCTTCATTAACCCAAGTGCGTGTATTAAAAGATTTGTTGTTCGACTTGTGCCATAGGTTTCCTTTTATTGCTTGTGAAATTTTTACATGCGAGGTGGACATAATTCTCAAAACTTTGGTTGAGGACGACGAGGTATGGACTCTTACTTTTGTCATATATCTTTATGCCTTTGTTCTATGCTTAGGTCCTTGAATATTGTTTATTTGTATTGGCTTTCTCATTTTGGATCTCAGCTAATGAATCTGCTATTCTCATTCTTGGAACCTGAGCATGCACATAGTACTCTGCTGGCTGGTTACTTCAGCAAGGTATTTCATCGTTGTCCACTAGTTACGTTAGTGTGAATTTCTTAGCTGACCATGCTACGTCATGCTTCACTTAGCTATATATTCCTTTTGTTTACTTTTCTAAAGTCTAAACATATATAACTGGAAGGCAAGTGGTTTATATGTTCGGCAGCTGACAACTTTTCTGTTGGCATGCCGTATTTTAACCTTTGAAACATCAAATGTTTGAAAAGAAAGGAGGGGGATTAGGAGTGAGGAATCTAAAGATGCATAACAAATCTCTTTTATTTAAATGGCTGTGGAGATATAATTATGATGGGAATAGATTATGGAAAAAGGTGATAGATGCCAAGTATGGTATGAAGGACATGTGGGCTCCTCGTTCAATTCAATCTTCTTCAAAAGGGGGAGCTTGGAGCACAATTAGTAATCTTTGGAATGAATATAGTCAGTTTGTGAAACTGAAACTTGGAAATGGTAATAATACCCTGTTTTGGTCTGATATGTGGTTGGAAAATGGAAGTCTTAGATCAAAGTTTCCTGGTTTATTAACAAAAATGGAAGAGTGTCAGACTTCTATCCAAGCACTGGCTGGCAGCTAATCTTCAGGAGGGGCCTCAATGACTGGGAAGTTGATGAATTTTCCCAATTGATGCAGTTATTGGATAATGTTAAATTGGAGGAAAATAGGAGAGACTCATTAATCTGGGCAGCAAGTAATGATGGTATTTTCACAGTCAGCAGTTGTTATAGCTTGTTACAAAAACAACAAAGGCTTTATCAGTCAAATTGGCCATGGAAAGCAATATGGAAGTCAAAAGCACCTATTAAAGTAGCCTGTTTTGGTTGGATTGCAGCAAAGGAAGGTTCCTTGCAAAGTGGACTCTAATCATCCATTGCAAAGTGGCAAAGCAGTGCTGGGAGCTCTTCCTAAATATATATGATGTCAAGTGGGCAATGCCTTCCAGTGTAAAGAGTTTGTTGGAGACATGGCAACAACAAAAAGTGGCAAAGAGTCAACAGATAGTATGGAGAACAATTCCTCTGTGTGTGTTCTGGACAATATGGTTGGAAAGAAACAGGATTTGCTTTGAAGGGGAAAGGCAGCATGTATCCATGATTAAAAACAGATGCTTATTAAACTTGTATTTCTGGTGTAAAAGACATGTAATGGTAAATATGGAACGATATATGAATTTTTTAGAGGAGCTAGGAGGAATGTAGTTGCTTTGTTGTATTAGTTTGGATGTTTGTAATTTTGTACCATCTTGGTACCTTTTAATAAAATAAAATCTTACCTTATAAAAAAAAAAAATGTTTGAAAATTTCATCAATCCTCTAAAACAACTTTTTCTTAAAAGACTACTCCCTCCGTTGAAAATTTCATCAATTCTCTAAAACAACTTTTTCTTAAAAAACTACTCCCTCCGTCCCAATTATTTGATGCAGTTCGGATTTCGAGAGTCAAACGAATTTTTCTTTGACCATTATTTTTTCATATGCCTTTTAAATATTTTAATTATTAATTTTTGTGACTTATAGTACTTTGTATTTAGTTTCTAACTGTGTGAATTTTATTTCAAAAAGCTTAAAGATTCTATGTCCAAATTCCCGATCAAAATTGAGAAGTTTGACTCTCGAAATCCGAACTACATCAAACAACATGGGGTGGAGGGGGTATTATTTTTCAAGTTTATTCTGTCTAGTTGCTATCATTTTGCTAGTTGCATGTTAGGCTAGTCATTGTAAGAGCCCGTTGGAATTTTGACGAAAACAATGCTGCATGTAAATTATTTTGGAAATGTCTTCATATTTTTAAGGTTTCTTCCTTCTGTGAGCTGTTATTATCAGATTATTAGTTTCTGCACTGGATTGATGCCCAGGATTCTTATTTTAGGTTGTCATATGTCTGTTGCTGCGGAAGACTACACCATTTATGAAGTATGTGCATGTAAGTCTACTGCTTCTTATTAGCTACTCATAATTGATGTACTTGGAGGTGATAATCTTTGATTTGCAGTATGGAATACACACACACATAGGAAATTATTGGATGTTATATCAGTTGCAGTAAAGATGGGCTATGGATGTATCAATGAAACCTTGCTCCCATTTTGTCTCCAATCTAATATTTAATGTTCTTTAAGACGATGGAGGGTGTTCATCTGCTGTGACTTATTTTGTCTGTATCTTCTTTAGTTTAAGATGCCAGTTTCCGGTGTAGAGAAAGATGAATAATTTGTTGAAAGAAAAAAATCGGATAATATGACTAACTGGTATGGCCTACCAATAATTTGTCTCTGTATTTAATGTCAATAGTCTGGCGATTTGTAGAAAACATTATTTTCCCTTGTACAATTGCGAGAGGTTGATTTCTACTCTCTTAATGTTTTCATTAGAAATTCAAGCACCATGCTAATGATAATGGTGTATTCTCTTGTAGGCTTATCAAGATATTATCAAGAAGTTGGTTGATCTCATTGGAATTACATCCATCATGGAGGTTTATAGTTTTTGAAATAGTTAAAGGCATGTTTTGGTTGTTTGGCTTGATTTAAATATGGAAGTCCTAATGCCTTTTATTTTTAGGTGTTAATTCGCCTAATTGGCACTGATGAACATTTGTATAGCAACTTCGCGGATTCCATGCAGTGGTTGGAAGATACAGATGTGCTGGAGATGATCGTGGATAAGTTTAGCTCATCAGTATGTCACTTTGCTGGATTAATTTAATAACACTTCCGTTTTGCCATGTCATTACACTATTTCTATGTTCTGATATCAAACCTGGCTTGTGGAACTAAGATAATTAGTGGATTCCTGCTGATATTTGCGATGGCATCAAGGGGTTGGGGGTGGGAGTTGGGACTGACAGCTGACTGGTAAAGTTTATAATTCATCGTGGGAGTTGGGACTGACAGCTGACTGGTAAAGTTTATAATTCATCGATGTAATATGTTCAACATAATGCCCTCGTTGGACACTGTTAGATGGGCGTATCAAATAATGATTGTCTAGCATTCATCTATTAACCAGTGACTTGGTACACTACAAAGCTTGTAATTGCTGGTGTAGGTTATTATGGTAATGGGATGCTCTGAAATTGCAGGATTGCCCGGAAGTGCATGCTAATGCAGCAGAAACGTTGTGTGCCATTACTCGATACGCTCCCCCTGGGATAGCTGCCAAAATCTCCAGCCCAAGGTGTTTTAGTATTCCGGACCTTTATTAACTCTGGTTTCTGATTGAACCGGTGATATTGCTGTATTTTCACGGATCTAACAAACAGATATTTTATTATATGATGTTTCACAGTTTCATTGGGAGGTTGTTCCGTCATGCTCTGGAGGACTCGCGACCAAAATCCGTTTTGGTTAACTTGTTATCTGTATGCATATCGTTGTTAGACCCCAAGAGGCTATCAGCAGGAACGTATTACATGTACGGTCGCCAGTCAATGCAGTGTTCTGGAGCAAGTGCGTATCCTGAGACTGTGGAAGGGATGTTGGGAAGCTTAGGTAAGGATTACCTCGTTGTCTTCTGAGCATATCTATTGGTAGACAAATGTTTTTGTGCATCCTCCCTTTCAAAGTCCCACCTCCCCCCTTTAATATAGAGGATTTTTGGAATTATTTTAATCTTGTTGAATAGTGATTTTAGGCTGTGTTACTGTGCTCAACACATTTGACCTTTGATATGTAGGAGACAGCTTTTCCTAGTCATACCACTCCTAGATTTAACCCTGCACAATTCGTTGTCTCTTCTCCAGTCGGTGATAAGTTCACTTTGAAACAAAATTTTGTGGTGCCTTCTTTGCTCTAATGTTTCCCAGAGTCTCCATTTGTAGCAACTGTTAGACTGAATGTTGTAGGGGAGAGGTGGAAGCATTTTAGGAGTCTTATTGTGTGGGAGGGGTTGCCTATGTGCTTAAGAGAGCCTGTGACAGTTTGGTCAAATTGAAGGGAGTTGATTTGCATCAAATTTCAGTAGGTGTTTTGACTTCACTTGTAAAAGGAATATGTTGGTTTATTTTAGTGATGATTGAAGGATAGATGTACAAAGTGTGGTTAACAAGGAATGAAATAGTAATTCAGCAAAGTTGGATTCTGGAGAAATAGAAAAAAACAATGGAGTTTAGGATGTACATGGTATCCTGATTTCATAGTACTTGATCAATATAAATCCATTCGACCTTTTCTTTATACACGACGTTTGGATTCTAGGTTCTCTTTATGAGTTGTGTATGTGATCTTCGAGATATCTGTACGTATGTGCATTATTGCTCTTTAGTCTGATGTAGTTGGATATGCCACATGCAATTGTGAGTAGGGTGGCCCTTATCATCGAAAAAGGTAGGTGGTACACTGGTTTGATCGTATCATCCTCAACTGTAACCTTTTACATCCAAATTAATTGGAGATCCATTTGATATTATAGTTGTTTCTCTGCTGCCTCTTGTACTTCGTTTTGCTTTCCGCTGGATAAGTCTTAATTTTATTGGGGATATTGATTTTGAGATAAATGCATTATGGTGTACAAGTTTTCTAGGTTCAATATTTTTCCAGTATGCATTAGATTTGTATTTTAACTTGTATGTTGTGACTTGTGATTCAAGTGGAATAATTTTTATCATTGTTTTTTTATGCAGGTGATTTACTGAAGCTTTTGGATATTTCATCAGAGGATAATGTCTTGCCAACAACATATGGAAGCTTACATCCACCTCTTGGGAAGCATCGTCTGAAGGTAGTTATTGAATATCTGTCTTGGAAATTTGATTTTAGAAATGGATATAATCTAATCGTACTTCTGATCTAACTTAAAGGCCAGTAATGTCAAAGACTAAAAGTGTAGAAAAACGGCAAGGTCTGTCGAGGCTTTAAGCGCAACACAATTCTTGAATACATTGTGCTGATATTTTTTTATGCGGGAATGAAAATGGTATTCACATGTTTATTCCTTTTTTTAGTAATTGGGAGTTTTATATCGGGGTTTATTTTTTGGAATAATACATCAGCACCCCCTCAACTAGTCTCCTTTTGCCCTGCACACGCTTAAACTTTGTGGGGGCCCCCCTCCCCCCACCTAAGACTATTCTGAAGTAGAAATATTACACCCTTTTTGCTGACATAGCATGGAGTGATTATACTCTCTTAGAATGCGTGAGATGCATTAGGAAAAAACGCTCTCATGGGCGGGAAACTCCATTTTTGGTCGATCAAGCTCCACTACACTTTTTGTGCACTCTATCAACCATTTTCCCTCCATTTTATCAAAAATCCTTCTTTTTTATCTCAGTAAAAGTTCCTTATTTGAGCCATAGCAAACGAATCTTTCACGGATCCCATCAGGAAAAAACTTTGCAGACCGTCTTACCAAAAGTCACTCGCTTCACCACTCATAGAAACAACCCCACACATATACCTGGCAGACTTCACCCAAAAACCACATCCTACACCCATCTAATGGGACCTTTTATATGATGCTTTTAGAAGAGATCTTTATTGCTCCAAAAAATAAGTTGCAAGAATTAGTGCTAGGATTTTTTTTTGGTTTTTTTTTTAGTGATTAATCAGTTTTTTCCTGCATGTTATTTGTTGATTTGAGAGGTGAAAGTTGAGGATTTTGTGTTTTGAGACGGCGAAGATGAAAGTGTAGCAAAAAAAAGGAAAACAAAGAGAAAAAAGGAAGACAAAAAGGTAAAAACTACATGTGGCAGCACGTGTATTACACCCCGATTTTCTCATTTGGGTATAAACCTCTCAGGATGGTATGAGATACAGTTCGATCAAGGATAAGAGGTAATAGGACCCCCACAAAGTTTATGTCTGTAATTGGCAAATGAGGGCTAGTTTGGGAGTTAATTATGCATTATCCCTAACCTTTTCTTTTGATAAACAAGCCCTTCATATCTATCTATGTCATACAACGTTATCAATATTTTTATGGTCCACTTGGTCTTAAAGAAAATGTAATATTATCCTTCATGTTTTGTTTCTAGCAATCAATTTTCAGGGATTTAGAATTTTGCAGATGAATGTTTAACTTGCGCATTAAAGTAGCCGCAATTTTACGTGCGTGTTGTAGTTTTGCTGAGTCTGTCTGTATTGTCTTTATAGTCTCTCTCCTCTCTCTCTCTCTCTCTATATATATATATATATATATATATTCTCTCTCAAGTCTCCAGTGTTTCTGTTATGCTATTGCTTACATATATGACATAGACTAAACTACTAGAGTCTTGTTTTTCTTCTGTCTGAACAACAAACGAGAAGAAGCAGCCCCGCTCCATTTGTCCTGTGTTTTAAAGTTATGCTGGGTGATATATAGGGCTTTAATTCCTCAAGTTTTGATTTCAAACAACTGGGAATTTCAGATTATAGAGTTTGTTTCAGTCTTGGTGAGTGTTAGCAGTGAAGCTGCTGAAAAGGAGTTGATCTGTCTTGGTGCTGTTAAACGCATCCTAGAATTATTTTTCGAGTAAGTTTTCCTTACAATTACTATGTTACTATGTTATCAATAACCTTCTGATTCCTGTTATGTGGTATTGAGTCTAGGCATCTGTTTTTTGTTACTTGGTACTGAATCTAGGTATCCGTACAACAACTTTTTGCATCATCATGTTGAGACAATAATAGTATCGTGCTTGGAGAGCAAGAATGTTCAATTTGTTGAACATCTTCTTAGTGACTGTAATCTTGTCGGGAAAATTCTCGAGGCAGAGAAGAACTCAACGCTTGCTGCTGATCCAACCAAGGTAGTATAATCAAACTTCTAGGTGTTTCATCTAATTCTTAGCATGTTTAGTATAGAGTTCTTAATTTTTACTTCCCTATTTTGTTATTCTTCTTCTAAATTTTGGGCTATAGACTTTGAAGCATTCAGTCATTGGGTTTTTTTTAACGTGGATGCAGCCAACGGCCTCTGTTGAAGAGAGATCCCCACCCAGGATTGGAAATATTGGGCATGTGACACGAATAGCTAACAAACTTGTTCAACTAAGGAACAACAATAATGGCATACAGTCGCGTCTGCAGGTGTTTGAGATCTCTGGTTTTATGTGTTATCACTTCTTTGTATTTGTCATGTAATTCTTCCAATTTGATCCATCTATCCTGTTTTACTGTGCTATTCAGCCACACATGAAATAGAGATGTTTGCGCTTAGAGTAGCTGATTTTTGCTTTTTGATAAATAGAGATATCTCAAATTCCATTTGGGCAGTTGCTAATTCTGATTTTTTTTTTTATAGTGCTATAAAGTCTTTCATTAATAATCAGTACGAAGATGGTACTAAAAAGGTTACACGAGCTGGACTTATCCAGATTACATGATAAAAGACTCATTAAGTGGACGTGTTGCATCTTCGTTAGTGGGGCAATCAGATGAAGTAATAAGAAGCATGACACTATTGTTTCATAAAATTAAAAAAAGAAGCATGACACTAATTAATATGGATAGAGAGAGTGATAGAGTTTTAACAAGTGACTTCTCTAACTTTGCTGGGTCTTCTATTTTTTTTTTTTTTGGTCATCCCAAACGTTGCTCTACTCATACCACCTGGTAGTGTATAAATGTTAAATCAACTACTCCTCAATTGCGAACTAGTTGGGTTTGATTATATGAATCCTCAGTATTCATTCTGCTTTTTTCAAGCTCATTTTGTTCCAATACTAACTTACTAAGTAATGTCTTGAGGAAAATTCGGGGTTCTGTAAATCCTGCATGCGCATTGACATGAAAGTCTATATTCAGAAGAAAAGAGTCCTGACAAGTACCAAACCTAATGTGAGTGTAACAACAATTACGTTTTAAATCCAACTAGTTGGTATCACTCATATGAATCCTTTATTCATTCTGAGAGAGTGCCGGTCTTTAGAAACAACTCTCTCTATATGATTTTAGGTCTACCTCCTCTTTTAGCGCCTTCAATCATCATAGTGCTGCACCTAGATTGCAGTACATATGGAGGTTTACATACAATACAATGAAACCATCTTAGACAACTTCCTCTGATTTTATCATCTATGTGTGCTATTTTCACTCTGTGGTCATATGAGGTTTTTTCCAATCTTGTATGGCCACACATCCATCTTAGGATTTGTATATTTATGACATTCATCTTGTGAGCCTAACATTCAATCTTATATGAACATATGTGTTCTCATAACCATTCTATAAAATTTCCTCCCGCTTTGCCAGGTAACTTTCTATCACATAACACTTCCGTAGTGTTCCTCCATTTCAATCATCCTGTTTTAATTAGCATATCACATTCTCATTGTCACACCTTTTCCTAGAAGGCTGAGCGTAGATCTATAAATTGTTTGCATTAGGCACTGCATACTCCTGGTGATGTACCGATGTTGCTAGGAGAAGTTTGACCAACTGTAAGCTGTCATTAAATGGCATCCAGAGAATGCAATCTGGTACAGATAATGGGATCCAGAGGATGCGACTATAAGCTATGTGTTTGGGAGTTAAATGTTGAAGAGCAATCCTTTTTTTGTGTTATATTAGCTTTCCTACAAAATTGTTTCTCATACCTAATCATATTCTTAACAAAGCTTCTTTTCTGCATTTCAACCAAATTCTCTGTAAAAGAGGCACAGAGATGAACATATTATTGGCACAATGGTGAACACATTATTATGGATGTGTGTAACATATTACCTTCATTTATTTAGTCTATACTTACTAAGAAATTACATTGTCCTTTGATGGAGTGATTTTCAATTGACCTTTAGGAGAAAGTTATACTTAAATCTTTTGTCGATAATAGTCCTGGGTTCGTTGAGGTTAATTTCAAAATTTCTCTCATTATCTAGAAAATTTACCTACTTGTGTCAAGTTTTTCTCTTCTATTTGATTGGGTTTATTTAATGCAGTCACACTTTAGTGATTTGATATGGTCAAATTTCCTATCCGCATTAGTATGAGATGTCATTGTTGATTGCCCCAGACGTGTATTAAGTAGGAGCCCTTTGCAGTTCCTTTCTGTCATTAACTTCTGCAAATTCTTTTGTCAAAAAATTATCTTTTGCAAATTCCCTGTGCTAAATGCAAGTATCTTTTGGCAGGAAAATAGTGAATGGGTTGATTGGCAGACAAACGTCCTTCAAAAACGGAATGCTATGGAAAATGTCTTCCAGTGGGCTTGCGGGTGAGTGTTCCTTGTTTGCCTGCTCAAAGTTATTTTTGAATAGGAAATCACTTTGTGCTGGTTAGAGCGTGTTCGCTAAAGAAAGACTCAAACTCCGTGAATAAGGAAATAGTAGATTCCATATGGACTATTAGGACAATAACAACTAACACACACACCTCAATTCCAAGCTAGTTTGGGTGAGTTCTCATTATTCATTTCGATCCATTTGGACATGTAATTCAATAAGGTGAGGATTCATCGTTAATTGAGCTTATGTTGGCTGTCAGCCTGCTGCAACCCTACTTTATCTGGGTTTACACTTAGGATGTTAAGCTTGCACTAGAAGAGTTGGTTACATCATTACCAGGATTTTGAAATATTCATAAACAGAAATTGAACTGCCTAAATAGGCTTCTCCTTTAGTTGGATAACATGGGCGGGCGCGCGCGCACGCACAGAGAGAGGCGTGCACACACGCAAGGGTTGTGTATATACTATATTGATGAGGTTGCCTGATCTAACACAAATTCCTTGTTAATTACTATGTATCATGTCATTTGACAAATGGTGCTTCTTGGATGTGTCTGGTTAATGCTGCATATCTGCTGTACAACCTATCATGTTATGTGACAAATTTTTGATCTTGAACATGTCTCATCAATGCTGCATTTGTGTACCATAGAGGCATTTCACGTTTTTCTGGCTGAGATTGAAGAGAGATCCATACCCAGATTTGAGTGTTTCTCAATTGGTCGTTCGTGTGAATTTTAAAAACGTTATGCCATTCTTTTCTTTTGAGTTGGCCACAGTATTTTATATGTTATGAGGAAAACTTGGTTGATGATTATGAGAGTCTTTTTCTTACTAATGGCTAATACCTGTGGCTACCACACATTAGTATCCTTCCTATACCAAGATACTTTTCATCTTTTTACTGGAATGGTCATGACTGTAGTTTGATATTTTTGTTACCAGCACGGTACTAAATTTTATTTCATGTAATTCTCTCAGGAGACCCACGTCATTGCATGACCGAATGAGGGACAGTGATGACGATGAATATCAAGATAGAGACTATGATGTTGCAGCTCTGGCAAATAATTTAAGCCAGGCCTTCCGATATGGAATCTATAACAATGATGAACTTGATGAGGTGCTCTTCATGCCTTATGAAAAGACAACATGGTTGTGCATTTCTTGATCTCTCTCTGTTCTTTTAGCATGTACTGTTAAAGGCTAGGATCCTGTGTTTAGAGCTAAGAAGGTAATTGTTGACAGAATACTTGGAACACTGACTGGTAGTTGGAGAATTTATTTTCTTATTTTTAGAGCAGTCCTTTCTTGGAGCTGCCTGCTATATGGGATCTCAGAGATAAAGCAAATAAGCACAGTAAATGTGCTTGAATCATATAAATGCTATACCATTTGGCATCTTCTATAAATGAATTTGAGTGCAGGATTTGTGGTTTTATCTGCAAGTATCAATCACTGGGACTGTTGTTTCAGAATCCGTGGCAGCATTTTTGACTGTTATAAAGCCTCTGCTGAAAATGGTATAAGATCAACAGTTCAATATAAATGTAGTAGGGTTAGACAACAGTCCTGGAATCCATGCCAGCATGTTGTAACTGTTAAATGGTAATGAACAAAAGAGTAGATGTAGGGTAAGGCAGAAATTAGTGAGCTAGAAAGATTTTTTGCCAGTTAATAGCATAGAATAGTCTTCCTGATTCTGTCATAATTAGGAGTATTGGTAATCTTCCTTATTTACTAACTAATTTAATAGCATAGAATTGTCCAATTCAATACAAGTTCTCTCTTCTTTTTTCTTACCTTTTTAAGCAGTCCCAAAACAATGGGCAGCCTTGATTTTGTTTTTCTGTTTTTCCTTTTTAAACCTTTTATTTATTCAACTTCATTTTTAATCTTTAAATATCTGATTTTTAAGCACATGTCCCTTTAGTATATTATCATCAGATCTATGTACTTAAGGAGGACCTTTTATCTGTGTGCAGGCTCGTGGTTCACTTGAACGGGATGATGAGGTAACTTTCGAGGTTTTATTTTAATCCTTTAGTGATTGCTCAGTTAATGAGTTAGTTATACAATCTTTCCCATACTTCTGTACGTGTGTGTACAGGCTCGAGAAAGAGTACAACTGTACAAGACCAACTTTCTCTCTTCCAGATCCACTTTAGCATGGCTCTCAAAATTGTTTTGGGGTCATTTTCACTTTCATCTCTACAGTGCGAAAGTATGAAGCTATTTTTATTCTTGGACATGAAAATGGGTCCTGCATATAGCGAAATATATACAGAGGATTTATTCAAGCGGGTTCAACTATTTTGTTATTGAGGCATAATTGATTGTTTGATTGATTTACCTGCTTGTCATCTAATTATTCTGCATAGTGATGTTCATTTTATATCCTTTTAAGTCAATTTGTAATTCAGCCACCTCTGCACCGCTTCCAGAATAAAACTGATCTGCCCTTTAATGTAATGTGGCCAGCAGGAACTATCATTTAGTCAATAGCAATACTTCCAATTATTTCTGTATGAAGTCACCTATTAGCTTTTCAAAATACCAATATTGCACTTAGCTTTCTGATTGCTTTAAAGAAGGTTAGTTATGTATGCATATATAGTTTATAATGATTTATTTATTAATTGAACGTGTCATTTGTATCCTCAAGAGGGGTAGTTTCATGTATCTCGGGTCTATTATCCAAGGTAACGGGGAAATCGACGAGGATGTCACGCATCGTATTGGTACGGGATAGATGAAATGGAGGCTCGCATCCGGTATTCTATGTGATAAGAATGTGCCGCCTAGACTTGAGGGAAATTTTTTATAGAGTGGTGGTCCGATCAACGATGTTGTATGGGGCTGAGTGTTGGCCAGTCAAGAATTCCATGTGCAGAGATGAGAGATATTGAGATGTATGATTGGTTGTACCAGGAGAGATAAGATTAGGAATGAAATTATTCGGGACTGAGTGGGAGTGGTCTCCGTGGAGGACAAGATGCGGGAGTCGAGGCGGAGATAGTTTAGGAATGTTAAGAGGAGAAGCATTGATGCTCCTGTTAGGCTGTTAGGAGGTGCGAGAGGTTGGCCATGCCGGGCGTGAGAAGAGGTCGAGGTAGGCCGAAGAAGTACTGGGGAGAGGTGATTAGGCAGGACATGACGCTGTTATACCTTACTGAGGACATGACCCTTGATAGGAAGGTGTGGAGGTCAAGGATTAAGGTAGAAGGGTAGTAAGTAGTTGATAGTTTCTCCTTTTCTTACTTGTAGTATTGGTAACACTCATGTCCCTTCATATTCTTAGATTTATATTACGTCATGTTTTGTTCGCTTCCTTTTCTCTTTTTTCTTCTCTCTTCCTTTTCCTGCTTTTTCCCCTTCTTCTTTTTCTTGTTCTTCTTCTCACGTTCTCTGAGCCGAAGGTCTACTGGAAACAACCTCTCTACCTTCAAGCCGAAGGTCTACTGGAAACAACCTCTCTACCTTCACTAGGTAGAGGTAAGGTCTGCTCACACACTACCCTCCCCAGACCCCCATCTGTTTTTTTTTTGTTGTTGTTAACATGTCATTTATGATTGAATGGATGAAGAGATATAATATTGCATGTAGAAATATCTAACAGAATTTTCTAACTACCTGCTATATCCACCTTGCCACATCTTCTAATATATAGTATATCTTAAAGAAATAGGCCCTGTAAATGACTTTACCCAATAAACTCATATGAAGTTTTTATGCCCTTTTTATCCTTAAATTCTTAGATGGGAGCATTTATATGGATCTTTTTACAATTCTCATAAAGGGCATGTATACCAGTTCTGAATAGATGTTGGATCTTATAACCGCCACTTGTGTGCATCCTTCTAGAAGTTTCAAAAGAATATTCTCCACTTTACTGTCTCTTTTGGGAATTTCTCCTATCAATTATGCTGTCATGAAGCTCGCATGAAGCCCTCTTAAGCCTGAAGCTTAGTGATACTCAAGATGGGTGCTTCAGCTCACATAGATAACCTTTTATGCTGGCACCAAGGTGCTAAGGCCTATGTGTCATCACCATGGCTTTGGCTTTAAGAGGGCCATACTAGACAATATAGGTAGATTGGCCAAGTAGTAGATTAATTGTTAATAAAATGTAATGAATGGAGTTTAAGTGATTATGAATAAGAAATTAGTGAAATTTGGTATCAGTACCTAGTCACAAACTTAACACTGCATCTCAACATCTAATCAGAACGTTAAATTAATTTTTGAACTTCAGCGACCTGATTTTTGCTTCATATGCTTAAGTTAATTATAGTTTTTTAATTCTTTAACAAATAATTGTTGTTTGTGTATATAGTTAATCTTTCTTTTATTATATATTTATATTTTATTTCTCCATTAGTGCTCTCTCTACTGAAACCCATTTGTGCTTTGCGCTTGTGTTTTATGCTTTTTGTCTGTGATAATTCTGGTTAGGATAGTCAATGCAACCTCTGTGCCTGAATTCTACGGAAAACTCACTTTAGGCATATCATTTGTATAATCTCTTCTGATATCCTGTAGGATGTCTATTTTGATGATGAATCTGCTGAAGTTGTGATATCTTCACTTCGTTTGGGGGACGATCAGGAAAGGTGGGAAAAAAATCGAGTTCAGAATGCTTTTGTCCCCCCTTACATGTATCTTTAGTATCAATCAAAATACTTTTAATTGTTTTTGCAGTGGCTCACTTTTTACAAATTCCAACTGGTTTGCTTTCGAGGATGACAGAATAGCTAATGATCAGTCTCCTGGCTCGGTTACTTCTCCCTCCCCTAACACTGAAGAGACTGATGTTATTAGGCCCGGCATGAATGATGGTGCAGCTGCTGATGAAGATGATGATTTGGCAGATACCGCCACATCTAACCTACCTGAGCCAAAACCAAGTACTGATAATCCTTCACCCTGTAGTTTGTCTGAGGACTTGCATGATTCCACAGGTAATGATGCCAATAAGCCTCCTGAATGGGTTGAATGGCGAGAAAGTTCTGATACAATTAGAATGTCCAATCAAACCCCGGATTCACCTGATGTAGCTGATGTGGTTGAGCCTTCTTTACCTAATGGTGAGGTCAAAGTGGAATCAGAAGCTCTGAAGGATACTGTTCAGTCAAAAGAAAAGAATGCAAATATTTCACCCGCTAATGGGTCCACCAGTAATGTGGAAAAAGATTGTGAAGGATCACCACGTGATACCTCACAGCCTCCAGGAACAGATGGGAGCCAAATCACTAGAAATCTTAATTCTGGTAGTACGGAGAAGCCACCTGCTGGAACTGAGGTATTATCTAGTGGAGAAAGAGAGAAGTGAAGTGCAGAACTACTGTGAATTCTTTATGTGCAGCTGTTGGGGAGCAAACCTAGCACTTTTGCCATAGAACTGGCATGCTGATGAATCTCAGCTATTGCTGTCAGCTGGGACTAATACGTGGTTTTGGAGCCTGATGTACAGTGCTGGGTCTTAATATTCAACTTAGCCGCAGATGATTCTTTCCTCAACTTAGGTAAAGACTGCTCTCTCTTTCTTTTCACTTGTAAAGGGCTTTAGTGCAGGTGATTCAGTAGATCATAATTTTATTCACTATTAACACAGTTGCCTCTAGATGAGTCCAAACTGCTAAAGGAGGTTGTATGCAGTACACGTTGAAAGGATATTGTTTATATCTCATAGTTGTCATTTATTGTCTTAATCTGCTGTCATCGCCAAATTACTTGATCATGGTTGGTGAAGTAGGTCATAGTTATTAGTTATAAGATGTTGCAATTGGCTCCACCCCCTTCTCTTCTACTAAAGCTTGATATCAATTGATTTGATTCTATGGTTCATGATCTAATACACATGCATTTGGTTTAGATTCACGTATCATATATTTTAACAATTTCCCAGAGAATGGATACCCAGAATAAGTTCCCGCTACAAGGGATATCAGAGCATCATCCGCCCTTAATTTATGTACATACAACCCACCAGATCCGCGGAGACCGGAGAGTGTAAGGTAAAATGAAAGTGAGATGCTTTCACCTATATAAAACAATCAAACCATGCCTCTGTCTGGTGGAGGTGGAGCTCACCACTGGTAGGAGAGACAAGTCTTGAAGAAAACTTGGTATGTAGTTTATCGATAATCACATTTGAAATTCATACGTCACTATTAAAACAATATGCGTAATTATACAATCAACACAGACATACATGTCTAGGGAAAATACCATAAGAATTGGGTAACTATGCATCAAAAGCGAAGTAAAAAAAGCCGCAAGCGCATAAATGTAATGCCGCAAACTGCATCTAAGTGTAAGACATCAAATAATCCACGCCTGCACGAGTGGTTCTAGAGTAAAAAAAAATGCCATCCCCATTCCCCACTAAGAGAGGCGAACACTAAAGTCAGAAGCTTATAGTATTATCTAAAAACAAAATTTCATTTAAGCATGGAGCGTCAAGCATGAAAAGGTTCATTTAACATTAATTGTTCTATTTAAATTAAGTTTCTTAAACTTTAGAATAAACATGTTACATATGTCAAAAATCACTTTGGAAGTCCAAGTTACATTATAAAAACATACGGTAGTTTAATATCTCACATAGTAAACATATCATTTGATAACTTCATAACTTAGCCGCGCAAAATATGTTCGCCCCAACATGCTCAATGTCACAAAACACTTTAAATAACCTTCATGCATCTAATCAAATAATTGAAAGACATGCACTTTAGAGAAAATACAATTAAAAGATTATGTCTCCATTTATCTCAATTCTAACTTGTAGAAATGGAGACACGAGTGCAATCAACGCCTTAGCGACGTTCAATCTCAGATGTAATAAACGTAAAAATAGCACGGGCTAGCCAGTTTTCGGACTGGTAATTCAAAAATAGCCAGCGTTTGTAAAGTTATTGAAAAATAGTCACTATTTTGCTGCAACACGGACCGGTCCAGCATAATATACTAGAGATTGGTGCACCTGTGTATGAACTTCTAGCATATTATGTTGGATTTCCAACACGCGGAAAGTTCCAGCATAATATACTGGAGATTAAAGCACCTGTGTATGAACTTCCAACATATTATGCTGGACCGGTATATTATACTGGAACTCCAGTATATTATGCTGGAGTTCCAGTATTATACTGGAACTTCAGTATAATTATACTGGAGTATAATATACTGGAACTTCAGTATATTCGGAGTTCCAGTATATTATACTAGAACTCCAGTATATTCTGCTGGAATATTTTCCGGATTTTGAACACTGTTTTCGTTCAGATTTATCTTCACATGAAAAATGATTAAATTTTGAATACTTTTGAAACTGTGGCTATTTTTCAATTACCACTGGTAAATCTGACAATTTTTGAATTTCTCCCTAATTTAACCATGTAAGCCTAACAAGACCAATTATATCTAAGGACTTGGCCATGGGTCCTTAAATCCTTTTTGTGAAACTTAATTCACCCATCCTATAGCATATTGACCTATCCATAAGCTGAAAAAAGTGTATCTAATACTTAGTTAGATACACTATTCCTACTATTAATGATGTAGTAGTTCACTATTACAATATCCATATCCTAATTTGATATTGTTTTTAAAAAAAATGACAATGAAACATTGGGGACCAAAACATAGTTATATTGCAAAAAGATAAGGAGTGAAACGCTATATTATACAAATTTCATAGTTCCAAATGAACTTTTCACGAAGATCCTTTAGGTATATCAAAATCCCAACTTCCACCCAATTAAACCCCTTATTTTCCACCGAACTCTCTCATCGTCGTCAATCTAGAATCTCCGATCACAATGCTCGGCGGCTTGTACGGTGATCTTCCACCGCCGTCGTCCTCCGGCGACGACGACAAACCCAGCAACAGCACCAGCGCTAATGTATGGTCTAGCAGCACTAAGATGGCCCCGCCAGCTCTCCGCAAAACCTTCGCCCCACCCCAAACCCTTCTCCGACCTCAGCCCAAACCCAAACCCCAGCCTTCATTATCAGCAGCTCCTAAGCCCATCCCCCTCGACGAGAACACCAACCCTAACCCCACACTCTCCGCAACGTCGTCGTTTCAACCTGCCCTAGTGGCTGTTACAAGCTCCGTATTAGAAGAATACGATCCAGCCCGGCCCAACGATTACGAAGAGTATCGGAGGGAGAAGAAGAGGAAGCAAATGGAGGCTGAAGTGAGGAGGGAGTTAGAAGAGAGGGAGAGGAGGGAGATGGAGAGGGAGAGGGAGGAGAAGGAGAAGAGAGAGAAAGAGAGAGAATTGAACATTTCAGGGGAGGAGGCGTGGCGGCGTAGGGCGGCAATGAGTGGTGGTGGAGGAGGCAGTAGTGCTCCTCCGCCACGGTCGACTTCGCCGCCACCGGGGAATGAGTTTAGTATAGGGAGATCAGAGAGTGGGGGTTTGGGATTGGGTGCTGAGGGAAAAATGACAGCTGCACAAAGGATGATGGCTAAGATGGGTTGGAAGGAAGGTCAGGGACTTGGGAAGCTAGAACAGGGTATTACAACTCCATTGATGGCTAAAAAGACGGATAAGAGAGGTGGAGTTATAGTGGCTAGTGAAGCAAAGCAGCAACAACAACAACAACAGCAACCTGAAAAGAAGGTGAAGAGTGTGAATTTTAATATGCCTCCAACAAGGGTTGTACTGCTCAAGAATATGGTATGGGTTGTTAAGGCTTACTATTATTTGTTTATTATGTTTGATTGTGGATTTTTATTGCATGAGATTGTTTAGCTGCATGAAGTAAGATGGTTTCTTGCTAGAATAGTTGCTTTCATAAAGTTAAGTTACTCTTCATTCCTTTCCAAGGACTTGGTTTAGTTTAGGTGCAAGTAGTTTCAGGGGCTCAGGTGTATTAATGAATCAAAGTTATTTCCACCGACGCCTTGATGGCTTCTGTGCTTTATCGTGAAAGAAAAGACTATGGAACTCTTGACTTTGGTTAAGAAAGAGAAGAAGCAAAAGAGAACATCATTCATCATTCAATCTTCTCTCTTAGGCTGTGCTATGAGAGTTAAGGAAATTGTCAGCCATGACAAATAATGACTATTTTGGGTATATGTATTCATGCATCAGCTAAGTGCAATATCCAAATGAATTAACAGATCATTCTTGTGTAGTTTTGTTCAATGAGTGGAATTTTGTCTTGTTTTGGCAATTCAAGTACATATTGGGCCCAAATGCACCATGATTTCTCCTTGCATTTTGATTCAATTGAATTATGTTTTCTTCTGAATACTTTCACGTTACACTAAGGGGATTCCGCTTGTTCTAGATAGAACCTCTTTTCTTCCTTAAGGTCACATTTCGTGTTCGCAAGTACCAATATCTTCATTAAAGAAGGTACAACATGTGATTCTAAGTATTTCTCCACTGCATTCTAGATTCAAAATCCGATAAGTTGTTCTGCTCATTGGGGAAGTCACACACACACACACACACACACACACACTTTTAGTGAATGGACCAAGGGGTTAGCTTGACTCAAACTTGCCTAGCTCATACGGGTCTTTAGGTTTGTGGACATGTAGGAAGTAGAGATAGGATTATTTTAGGAAGGATCCTGATGCTGGAGCTGGTGGATTTGGTTGCAATGCGAGAATTAAGGTGAATTATATCTGAATAATTTTGGATGGATTGGATATATTTTATCAATTGTTTGATTAATGGGTTATATGTTTTTTTAAGCTATTAAACAAAACTGAAAGGTATACAACCAAATTTAGTAAAAAGAATCATGTGGAACGAGGGGAAGGTGCAGTGGGGTGCAGTGCATGCTATGTGGTGGGGCGAGGGTGGAGGCAATAAGGTCTGAGGTTGGAACTAAGAGTGCATTAGGTTACCCTACCCCCTCTCCTTTGGGATTGAATATTTCCCTTGTAAGAGGGTTAATGACCGCTACATTTCGTTGAGTGTATTCTGTTTGTATACGATAATCTTGTTTTTGGGAGGTGAATTTAAATGGGGAACATGGTTAGTGGAGTTTCATATAGCCGACCCCAAAATTATTTGGGACTGAGGTGCAGTTGTTTGTAGGATAATCTTGTTTATGGGCTGCATAATGTGTAATATTTCTTTCTTAAAGTAATGATGTTGATATATATCTTTTATTCTTAAGTCTAAATTCATTCTTATTTTTTCAAAAATCTTTGGGTCAAATGTTAACCTCTGCCTAGAACTCCCTTTTTCATCCATTTATTCTTCATAACTTTTTTGATCAGTAAGCAATATATTTTATTAATGGAAGAAAGATCCTGACACCAAGCTGGTGATTGAATGTCCAAAAGTGGGCAGTCCCTCATACAAAAATAAAAGAAGTGAACTGCCTCTATACAAAAATATCGAATCTTGTAACATAGCAGTGAAATCTAACATTCTGTGAGGATCATGCACATCTTGGAGTTTACATAGTGCCAGCAGATGTAAGCATTTGTGTTACAGCTGTTGTACAGAAGTTGCCTTGGTAGCTACATTTTGTACTTCTGGTTGTGGTTGTCTGACGATATTTGTGACTGGAGCTGTGTAATGCCAAATGTGATTCAAATATCTTATTGAGAAATTGCCCTTTGCTTAATTCAAAGAGAAGTTGAAACAAATACACCATCATAACAGGATTGGAGGCCCATTGTGCCAAAACAACTAAAAAAATGTGTAAACCAAAGGGCAATTTCTTCTTTTTTTACCTGATCAAAAAAGAAATTTCCCTTTGGTGTACACATTTTTTAGTTGTTTTGGCGCAATGGGCCTCCAATCCTGTTATGATTGTGTATTTGTTTCAACTTCCCTTTGAATTAAGCAAAGGAGTGTGCTTTGGAATGCCCAAATATTGTGATTTGTGGAGCATTCCTTTTCCCTACGGACTAAATAATACCAGGATTGATAAGATTAGGAATGAAGATATTCAGGTTCGGGTGAGAGTGGTTCCGGTAGAGGACAAGATACGGGAAGCAAGGGTTAGATGGTTTGGGCATGTGAAGAGGAGGAGCGCAGATGCCCTAGTAAGGAGGTGCGAGAGATTGGCCTTGGTGGGTTTGAGGAGAGGTAGGCCTAAGAAGTACTGGGAAGGGGTGATTATGCATATGGTGTTGCTTCAGCTTGCCGAGGACATGACCCTTGATAGGAAAGTGTGAAGGTCGAGAATTAAGGTAGAAGGCTAGTAGGTACCCGAGAGGGTTCCTTTTCCATACTAGTAGTTAGTAGTATTAGTGTTAGTATGGTGTTGTATTATTGTTAGATTTCTATTACTACGTGTTCTTCCTTTCGCTTCGTTTTCTTATTATCTTGTTGTTGTTAATGCTTGTGCTACTGCTTTCTTTTCATCTTTCCTTGAGCCGAGGGTCTATTGGAAACACCTTCAAGGTAGGGGTAAGATCTGCGTACACACTACCCTCTTCAGACCCCACTTGTGAGATTATACTGGATTTTTTGTTATTGTTACTAAAGACTCATTTCTCTTATGTGATACCATTCTTCTTTCAAATTCAGTGTCCACCTTTCTTTCGTGGTCGTGGCGAAATAGTGTCCACTTCAACTTTTCAAACATATAATACTTTTACAGAAAGCTGAATTTCTCAATTACAACTGTTTCATTTGATAAAGTCAGTTACAACTGTTTCATATTTCATTAAAAAATCAAAAAGTAAAATATGGACCAATTTGTTGCCTTTTTCAAAATGTGAATGATCGTAACACTCTTACAGTGTAAACTCAACTGAATGGAGGAGTGACAATTTTATCTTCTTTTTTGATCTCTTAGTTTTTAGTGGAATATTTTGGATCAAAATCATAGTTTTGCCATTTAATGAAAAGTGGGCTCGCATGAGGTTATGCTTTCCACGAGCTTCATATCTTCAACGTTGAACTTTCCTTCCTCTAGATGGATGTGCTCTGTTACCACCCAAAGAGTACTTGTACATGTAGCGAACGGATAGAGAGAGAGAGGGAGAGAATTTTGATCAGCCTAATAGAATAGACGCAAACAAGAAATTGAGATAAATGAAACTGATGCCCCATCTGTAGGGAATGGTGGGTAGATGCTCGGGTCTCATGTTTTTTTATTGCTCTGACCTTTGTTTTTGTTTTCTTTTTGTTCCTTTTTTTTCCTTATGAAGGTTGGTCCTGGCGAGGTTGATGATGACCTAGAAGGTGAGGTGGCTGAAGAGTGCACTAAATTTGGTACCGTAACTCGTGTCTTAATATTTGAGATAACAGAGGCAAATTTCCCTCATGAGGAAGCCGTTCGGATATTCGTTCAATTTGAGAGAGCAGAACAAGCAACTAAAGCCCTTATCGAACTTGAAGGTCGATTTTTTGGTGGTAGGATTGTTCGTGCCTGCTTCTATGATGAGGGGAGGTTCAGCAATAATGAGTTAGCTCCCATGCCAGGAGAAATTCCTGGCTTTTGACCAAGCAGTTATGGTTCAAATCGTAAGTTCTTTTTATTTTGTCACAGGGACTCTAATTTTGGTTAGAGTGGCTTTAAGTAAAAGGCCTTAGGTGATAGGTCTCCTTGTATTTCTTTTCAGAAAATAGGTCCCTTGTATCTATTGTCTCAAGTTTTACACAAAGTATGTATCAAAAACTTCCCCCTGTTTTTGCTGAACTGATGAACTTCATTGAGGTGCAACACCAGAGTAATTTCCCAAGGGTGTGCAGATCTACCATGGACATCTCTCAGTGACGAAGAATGTACAACTTTGACATTACTCTGAGGAACTTGGTTTTAGTGTTTCTTCTAATGCGGGAAGTTAAAATTATTGTTTTACAGTTGGTTCATTAATGTCGAATAACTTTCAGGTATGTCTTCAGTTGGCCATCTAAGTTCTATTTGGCTTTCCCATACCACCATCTGCACTTTCTACATTATCAGATTTGCGTACACTTTGTTATTTTGAACTTGTTGAAACTCCTGTACTTTCCCATTCCAGCCAATTTCGAGCAAAATACTCAAACAGTGAAGCTAAATATGCAAGTGTAAGGACATTTTTTTGGAGAGGGAAATTGTCTCAAAGTCTGAAAAGATTTAAATCTGATCTTAAAGTGAGTAGTTCTGCCATAAGCGACTGAGATGACAAATTGTAACATTCTCTCGAATAGATGGTTAATACAAATCTGCAGGTTATGAATGTTTTACCGCAAACCAGAAAATATGGAAGCTGAAACACTACTATCAACTTGCACCTAAGGGAGTGGCCTAGTGGTCAATGAAATGAGTTGAGAATTTGAGGTCTTAGGTTAAAATTCTAGCGGAGACAAACACACTACGTGATTCTTTTCATCTGTCCAAGCATTGATTGATAGAATTACCTAGTACTTGTTGCTTGTGGGAGGTAGCAGGTGTCCCGGGGAATTAGTCGCACACCCCCATTTTGGCAAAATATTAACGGATAGGAAAAGAAATCGTAATGAGCAAATTCACACAAAATGAACGTTCGAGTACCCTACGTGCATCTCCGTGACAAGGTTTCCACAGAACCTACTATCCTTTACATCCTTCTTTTTCCATGAGAGTTATCGTTGAACCAACTATTATTGCAACCACAATTTTGACCTTTCAGTTTTTTCCTCGCGAACTTTTCTCAAGTCATACATTTCACTTATCTATCTATCTATATTTACTTAAAAGGAAAGAAGTCAGACCTAAAAATTTGCCAAGTGTTCCACATATAAAATGCCATGTAGCAACTTTAGGACAAATTAGTTTCTATTTTTAAATTTTGAAATTTGAAAACAGTTAATTAGGTATTCTATATTTTAAAAAAAAGTAGTTTCTACGTTATTCTATATTTAAAAAAAGTAGTAGTAGTTTTTAAAATATAGAATACCTAATTAACTGTTTTCAAATTTCAAAATTTAAAAATAGAAACTAATTTGTCATTGTTTATATATGCGTAAGTATATTACAGTCATATACAGAATAACTTAGTCATTTTAACTAATTGGGTTTTTTTTGTAGGGCGACCGCATTCACGCAAGTATTGGCAGGTCTTTTATCCAAATGTTCAAACAAGAAATTAAGGAAATGGGTTTGTACATCATGAAGAATTTCGTGGTTTGTCCAAATAATATGAAGCTGAAGACCAAAGACCACACGTTTAAGTTGATGTTCACGCATAAGACTATTGTTGACGAAATACATGATCCACATTTCAACATGTGTATTTTCAAATTTAGAACCTATGAGCAGCTGTCAAATCCCCAAGAATTTGACAATACTGAGCTATTTGGTAATTAAATTTCTCTCATTTTTTCCAGTTTCATTTTACTTTGCCTTATTTGTTTTCTATCTTATGAACTCTAAGTGTGAACTAAATCAATACTAATTAGTAATTACAGTACATAAGATCAAAGATTAAGTTTTAGATTAAAGTTGAATTTCTTGACATTGTTAAACCCTCTGTCGAAAATCATAATCTGATTTCTAGAAGGCCTTTGTAGGCGTATGGAACTAAAGAAAGGTTAGTACTGTATCATTTCTCTGAAGATCTCCAGTACAACGGTATATTCTTGGTACTACTTTATATAGTATTTACAGATAGTATTTCAGTGGTTTTATGAAGGCCTAGGGTTAGCTTTTGATCTCTTACTTACATAGATAGCTAATGGAGTTCATGCCCACACTTTCCTTGCATTCTCTGAAACCTTCCCTTTTAACAAAACTCAGAAAAATTGATACCAGCTGCCTTTGGAATATACATCTAACTGTTTAATTCTTTTACAATCTTCATTTATATTGTCTATAATGATTACTAATTTTGCACATATTTCCTTGCTTTGTAGATGTTATTGGCGAAGTTGTGAGTTGTGAGGACGTAGAGACTATCAAGCAAGATGATAATATTCGTATGTACATGAACATTGAGATATATTTTGTCAAATGCTTCACTTAAAGGAACTTGTGTGGAGGTCATCATTTAAATTTCATGTTACATTGCATTAACCATCATATTTTGCATGTCTTATCATTAACTTTGCACATAGCACATGAGTTGTGCTTATATTCACACAGGTAGAAAATTGCAACTTGCTTCTAGAGCTTCCCATAAAATATACTGGTAATTAAATGTTTGGTCAACTTTTTTATTCTAATGATGGCTTATTTTGATATATTCATGTTAGTTACAATGATTGTTGCTTTATACAACGGTTGTACATAGAATTTTCATAACAAATTTCGATTACCTTTTTTTTCCCTTCTCAATAAAAGATGATTTACCACCTGTTAGTTCATTCTGGGTAATTTTTGTTTATAGGACATGTCCTGAGGAGTGTAGAGAAGCTGTAAAATCTTTGATTTGTGCAGCAGTAAGACTCGCCGACGTGTCATAATTACGCTTATTAAGAAGTATATTTACTGATATATGATTGTCTAGCCCTGTCTTGCCTTCACCTTTTTATGTGAAAGTTCTAACACTTCATTTTCATCTTGTAGGGTCCAGAAATTCGAACATGGTTTTTAAAAGATGCTAAGCCTGTTCAACTTAAACAGGGTCAGGAGATCACAATCTCAACTGATTACAACATTAAAGGTGATGAGAGTATGATATGCATGAGCTACAAAAAGTTAGTAGAGGATGTAAAGCCACAAAGTGTGATCCTCTGTGCAGATGGCACAATCACCTTTACAGTTTT